TATCACTTGAGCAGAAAACTTGGAGGAGGGGTGGGGAGCAGGCCCCACACACAACCCCTGCCGGAGCCCAGTACTGCCACCTGTGGCTGGCCTAGCCACAGTGCTGCACTCCGGTTATCTGCAGAACAGCCAGGACTGGTTTCTGGGGTCAGAGCTGCCATGTCCTTCCCCCAGTAGGAGCACCCCTGGGGGAGAAGGGCCTGACCACAGCTGACCAATGCACCTGGCCGCCACTGCATTTCCCACGGTGCACTTGGGAAGGGCCAGGTCTACTTTTGCAAGTCTCCCATCCACACACCAGGGTCACGTGAGGAGAACACGCCAGGGGATGCCACGAGCATTCTTTTCTGTGTGTTTGGCACAATAATTCGCCCCCTGAAGCATCTCCTCCCCATTTCTCCCCTTTCTCTGGCAATGACGTAAACCTCTCTCCCTAACTCCTCAAGGTCAGCCTCAGGAAGGGAGAGAGACGTCAGAAACGTAGGACAATTGGTGTCTTGCTCTCAGGATTTTTTTTTCCTTTTAAGCTAAATATTTTCCAATTTTATGTATAATTGCAATAAAGATGAACACCCTTAGCCAAAGGAAAGGAAAAGTGGTATCTGGTACTGAAGGTAGCCAGAGCCCAGGAGAGTTCTGGGGCTTGGGCCACTGCCCTGCCCAAGGGCAACTGCAGCTCACTGGGGCTGCAGCCTCCAAGGCCGAGCCCTCAGGGGTGGCTGATGCCGTGGAAAGTAGAGCCATCCTCCTGCACTCTGCCCAGGGCTCCCAAGGTGGCAGGGAAAACCCTCAATTTCGCCCACCTTCAGTCTGCATCCACCCACAGTCATCCATGAGCACACCCGCCCACGGGCTTGCCTGGGAGCTATGGGGACCCCGTACAGACTTCCTGCTGGGAATCAGAGCTGTTTTTTCCCCTCCACCCTCTTCTCAAACACCCTGACAACTTCATTGCCCTCTGTCCCCCACCGAACACCTCCACTTTTTGCCTTCCACCTCCTTCAAGTGAGGGAAAGTAAGCTTCCCTTCCCTGTCACCCCCTCACCTCTCCAGAGCTATCGGCACATACATGTCCAACAAACACCCTCATGCAGCATACACAGGCAGGCAGCCTCCAGCCTGAGCCGCACGCAGAGTGTTGACAATCCCATGTTGTCCAATTGGAGGCACACCGGCACCAGACCAACAAAAACACCCCTCCTGCCCCCACCCAAAGGCAACACAAAGGCCGCCAAGAATTTCAAGACCAGATGACATCCACAGAGCGAGAGCTGGGTCAGACAAAGACATCACTCCATCCTCCCAACACACCACGACAACTCTGGGATATTCTGCAGTGCCCTCTGGCTTGACACAGCCCACTGAGCAGAGCAGTGTGTGTTGGCGTGCGTGAGAGAGCGCACATGTGTGTGTGGGGGGGCTGGGGGGTCTGTGTTTCTAGTGTCCAGGCATCAAATCTCCCCAGAGGTAACCCAGTCCAGACTCCGCTTTCCCTGGGTAACCTTCCCCTGATGTGCCGCAAACATATATTACATGGATGGTTAAATTGGATCATTATCACCGGGTGCTTATTTGGCAAAAATTCATTAATGTCATCTACCCCCATTCCAATCCCCTTTTCATGAGGTCCCCTCCCCCAAAGACTCTCCAACATGCTAATCCCATGAACTGCGACACACCACAGCTTTCGGGAAAGAATAATGGTGAAAAGAAAGAAGAGAGCGGTGTGGGGAGAAGACATGGATAATGGTACTGCATTCCCCGTATGAAGACGGGTGGAAAGGAGCCATGGTGGAGGTAGGGGTGGGGAGAGCCATAAAGGGGGATGGAACCAAATGAAATCAAGCCTTTGGTCGCCTGTGTCCGTGTAAGAGTGTGTGTGCAAAAGCGTGTGCAAGTGCGTGCATAGATGTGCCGACTGAGCCCTCCTATCAGAAGGCTGCATCCGTGTGGCATGTAGGAGAGGCCATCGCACCACTGTTGTGTTGCAAAAAAAGAAAAAAAGGGAAAAAAAAGCCGCAGAGCCATCAGAATCAGAATTTTCTCATCAAGATGGAAAGGACTAGAGGAAAGGGGGAGGGGGGAGGGGTAGGAGAGAGGGGTGTGTGGAATAGGAGGCAAGAGCATGGCAGAATTGGGGGAGGGTAGAGGGGGAAATTGGTGGTGGGATGGAAAAGATTGCATGCACACAGAGACATAAACACACACAATACCCAAACGCCAACCCCACCGCTCCACTGTTCGCTCAGGACTGACAACCCGTCCCCCACTCTCCGCTGCCTCTCTGTGCCCCCAAAGCTGGTGCCGATGGATTTCTCTATCTCAGTTTTGCAGCAGTGGGCTAATTACAACCAAGCCCCCTCACCAAATTAACCCCTCCCCTCCCTCTCTTTTTTTCTCTAAAAGGCCAATTGAAGAATAATGTGTTTTTAGAGATAATGGATTTTTTTTTCCCAAGGAGAGAGATAAAGGGGATGCAGGACAGAAATTCTGCAAACCGGTGACTTCCTACCTCACCTCCGTCTCCCCTCATGTCCCCATACACTGTAGCATCTCGTCTACCATTTCCAACCATCCCCTTGTCCCCCACCACCCAAAAGAAAAGACCTTCCTACCATGCACATCGACAAACACACCAACCGCCACCCAATCTCAGTAGCCGATCTCAAAACCCCAAGCATCAACCCACCTCGACATATCCTTTCCCTTATATAAGCAGCAAATCATCAACATATTTAGTAGAAACACAGCATTAAAGAGAAATCAACAAAAGGAGGCCAGACCCCCCGTCATACCCCCAATAATTAATAATAGGGAGCTACCAGAAAAGCAAAGACGTAGTTGTCTCTCAAAATCTAGAATTCCTTTGATTTCTGGCCCCTTCATCTTAAGCAGCAATTTTTTAAAAATTATTATTTCACTAGAAAGGGCCGGAAAGCTCCAGAAAAGGGCATTCGCACAGTCCGGTTGTTTTTTAAAAATTAACCCAGCCCTGTTGCTCACTTTAATAGCGAACTTCCAGCGTCCAGCCTTTTCCCCCTCTTCCAGAAGGAAAACTAGCTCGCAGGATGAACCCCAGGCTGCAGAAAATGGGCCAAGAGCCCTTACTCTCCACTCCCCAACCAAAAAAAAAAAAAAAAAATCAAACAATAGGGATATCTCTGCACAACCAGCACCTGTCTGAAATGTCGTTTGCCCCAATATGACTTAGGCAGATTAATCCAGAAGATTAAAAAAATACATATATATACACCAGCCTGCCTATGTCTCTCCCGCTCCATCCCTCCGCCACGTACCCAGTATCCCTTAGGTAAACTTGCCCATCGTCACCAGCGGGACCATTTTAACTTGAAAGACGATGCAGAAGCCCTTGAACGATGAAGGGAGGCTCTACCCAGAATGGCAGATTCATAAAGGGCTAGTTTTTCAGGCTCCCCAGACCTAACCTCCAGGTGCCCCCAGATAGACTATCCTGGGTATGGAGTCACCCAGCGCTCCGGGAGTTCAAATTTCCATTGGAACCTTTATCACAAAGGCAAACGGTCATCTGACCCCCCGAAACTACACCGCCTTCCAGGTGTGAGAAGGAGCCCCTCTCCCTCCCAGGGCCATCCACAAGACCCAGGGCAGAGAAAGAATGAAAATGTTGGGGTGGAGAGTGGTGGTAAAAGAAAACTATCTCCCCAAGCGGGAATGGCCGAAGGGAGCGGGGAGATGGCAGCTCCAGCTCTCCCAGTTCTCCTTTTTGGTCAGATGATCTCTGACCTTTGCATTAAAATAATTAAAAAAAAATAAATAATGATCATGGGAAAGAGATCCTACTTGACCTAAACCCCAACAATGGTTGGCAAAAAATATCATTTTCTTGCTGCATGACAATATTTCTACATCCAAATCAAAAGAGGAAGGCATTTCATGGAGGAAAGGAGAAATTTAATTTTTTTAATAAGTAGTCACAGGGTAAGTCACCTGCAAAGCAGCCGAACCCATAGGTTGGTATTACATCACTGGCCTAAGAAGAGATGGGGGGTGGGAGGAACAGATTTTTGCCCCAGTGTCATCAGGAAGATGTTTCTAAAGCAGTTAAGTTTTGTGGTTAGAAAACAGAGAGGGAAAGAGCTGAAACTCTGGGCACAACACAATGCCTCAAAAAAACAATACATCGAACCAGCCTCTAAGGTCACTGAGAGCTTGCAAAACCCACAGTGCTTACACAGAGTGGAAGTTTTCAGGCAAGCCTGCTACTAAATCATTAATATAAACAAATGGAAGGCAGAGGAGGAAGGTTCCCTTGTAACCGATCCAAAGAGGAGCGGACACACGTACACACACACACACTCCCTTTTCACCTTCTCTGAGTATGCCCACCTTCACAACGAGACAGCAGAAGTCCAACCTGAACCTTCAGGCTCAAGAACCCCCTCCTGACACTCCCCCCGACCCACCCCGGTTCACACTCAAACACACTCACATTCGTACACACCTCGACTCCTCAACGGCCAGGGAAATCCCTGTCTCAGTTCAGTCTTGTCAGCTTGTGACCCTCGGGGTGTCGCTTCTTTATTCCTCATTTGACTCAGCCCCTTCCCCAGAAAAAAATAAGAAGGAGGAGGGAAAAGTGGCTAAAACATGCCAAAAAAGTATCTGCCCAAAACGAAGTGATGAGCACACATCACTTCAGACTAACAATCCAAGGAAATAGGGGAAAGACTTTTTTAAAAAGATTTTTTTAAATTCTAAAACATTCTGACTTTTTGCACGTCTGGAGCAAAAGGACCCAACTTCCAGGAGAAGCCGAAGGAAAAGAAAGGCAGTTGAAAAGCCATTCCCATGGTCAGTGGAGGCTCTCCGATCCAACATTCAGAAAAAAAAAATCTAGGTTGGTCGCTCCCAGCTGAAAACTTCTATCCTCTCAGGAGCTACCGCCTCCCAGAATGAAAGGGGAACCTTGAGTTGTTTCCCATCCTGCCTGCCTGCCTGCCTTTCCCCGGAAATCTTACCTTTCCAGTTGCACAGAAGATTTAGGATCCGTTTGTTTGTTGGATGTTTAATCAACTGAGTTTGCTGGGTATGTTTCCTCTTCTGGGAGGTTCAAATTCCAGAATCTTTCTCTCTCCTTTTCTTTTTCTCTCTCTCTGGGAGGGAGTGACAGGGAAGAAGGGAGGAGGGTGTTGGAGGTGCGAAAAGCAGGTCCTCGGTGGTTGGAGACGCTGGCAGCTTCAAGAGGGGAGGACACGCTCGCCTCTGCCTCTCAGTGAGTTGCATGCAAGAGGAGATGTGTAGGGCTGAGCTCGGAGCCTGAGACTGCCGGAGGAGCCCAGGAATTTCACGCACTCCAGAGCCGGCCCCTCCCTCTCCCACACAGACCCAGGCATTTAAAGAGACAGCCTGGCTGCCTGGCTCAAGGCTTCACAGCCTCCCTGACTGTTTGGCAAACAGCTGAGAAAATATCATCAGAGAGGGGCACTCTGCAGCCCCCTAAGACTAAGAGGCCATCTCAGGAGCTTAGTTCTCCCCTCATCCAAGCTTGAGGAAGGTTCTTGACTACAACTGAAACAGGAATAAAAATAAAGGCAAAATCCTCACAGCTTCAGTAGACTAAGCCACTTCTGGAGATGCATGTATCTCATTACAGACTGAGGGAGTGAAAAGGACCCTGCCCTAAAAGCGTGCCTCAGTTTCCCTGAGTAGCCATCCCTCCTTACAAAATCAGGGCAATCCTTGTGGATCTGGTGGAGGTTAGGCCTGTAACTAGGACACAAATCCATTCCTTCAACAAGCCCTTAGCATATCAGCTAGGGTAAGGTACAGTGCATAGAATGAGGGCTGGGGACATAGAAATGAAGGTGACAAATGGGGCTTCCCCTCCAAGGGCTCCTAGTTGGGAAGACAGAGGCACAGCTAACCCTATCCCCAGGAGGGGGTTGGGCACCTGTAAGCTGGCGAGGATCAAGAGGCAAAGATCAAGTGCTGGGGTGGATTGGGAGGATGGCTCCCTTCTGTAGCTTGCACCCTGAGTCCAAAACCTAGGTATTTCCAGTGCACCCAAACTCTTCAAAACTCTTCAAAACCCATCTCCAGTGTTGCTAGATTAGCCTGAGCCTGTAGAAACATTTCCCCAATCAAGCCTACACAAGAGATGACAGTTGGTAGCACCACACAAAACACTTTGTTCAGCATCAGGCCCCGGTGCCTCCAAGTGGGAAAACACCCCACCCCTTTCTTGTCCTGCCTCCCCTTTCTAAGGGCTGCATCATGCACCCTTCCTCTGGCTAGCACCAATGGCTAGAAGACCCATGAGCTGCTGTTGGGCACTTACCATGTGCCAGCACATAGATCATCTTGTCCTGTCCAGTGAAGTTGGTGCTGACCATTGTCCATTTTACAGTGGAAGAAAGCACAACTTTAGAGGGCAGTTGTGCTCGCTCCCCAAGGTCACACAACTGGAAGTAACCAAGAATGAATTTGAACTCAGGTCTGACTCCAGAGCCTGCCTGCTCGGCCACAGTGCTATATTGCCTCCCTGCCCTGTGGAGTGGATCTTACATTTCTGCCCCTCACTGGACATTCTTCCAGCCACCCCAGCACTGCCCAACTCAGCGGATTTGATAGCACATGCACTGGGCATTGTGCTCACAGGAAACAAAAGGAGTAAGTCAAGGTCCTTGCCCCACGGTATCCACTATGCTTTGGAGGAAGACAGAGGTGTGTCCCTAAAAGGCGAGGGGAAAATGATAGTCATGGGATCAATGTAAAAGAAGCTCTATGGGATTGTCAAGGAACAGGTGATAAATTTTGATTTGGAGATGGGGGCTATCAAAGCAAGTTTGGTGGATAAAGTGGCATTTGGGCCAGGCTTACACACATGCAATTTCACCATCCCTAGCCTACTTTTCCATCTGTTTTACTTTTTGGATCAAATCTCATTTTTTTAATGTTTTCTTGGGTCCCCAGTCTTCCATGCCTCCATGGTATCCAGCACATAACATGCACACAAAAATGCCTGACAACTTCATGCATGACACCTGATTTCACACCTGCTTATGCTAGACCTGAACTGCCCTGAAACCTGATTCTACATACCCTCCTTACCTGGCCTTTTCTGAAGCCTATAAACTTTACTTGTTCTCCAAGTGTGAAAGTGAAGTCCGGAGGGCAGAGTGCATGGTGTTGGGCAAGCCAAGCTGTCTGCAGACTCTGGTGGGAAGAACCATGCAAAGGAACCACCATGATCTAGCAGGACCTCAAGAACCAGGCCCGCTGTAGATTCACCATTGGAAACAATAGAAAGGGACCTAAGGGATCAGGGGACATGAGAGCATAAGCTCAAAGGGAGAGTCTGAGGACTCACTGCCCGACAGAAAGAAGTCAGCTCCCATAGGACTCCCATAGGACTCCTCTGACAAACAGCAGCCATGAAAGGACATACCCCTTGCACGTGTCCACTGCACATGTGCAGGACAACCTAGAGGTTAGGACATATAGCTGGATTCCAGCCCCACCTTGGCCAACCAAATTCCACATGATTTGAATAGTTTTCTTTCCCTCTCCAAGTCTCACTGTCTTCACCTACAGAAATCATAATACCTGTACTGACTTCAAAGGATTGTTACAAGAATTAAGTGAGAAAACACACACAGAACACCTTGCCCCACAGAAATGCTTAACAAATGTCTGCTGCCTCTCCCCAAAGGTCTGCCTCTGCCCCTGCATGGGATTATTAATTTTGGACTGCCCCCTATAGTTAGCATTCCCTTATTTCATCATTTCACTTTTAATATTTTAGCGTACCGGGGTATCACTGTAATTACTATCATTCATTTGTTTTTAGCCCTTGTGCTTCCTAATCCACTTTACCTTGTGTATTTTGAATATACTGGTTATTATGATTTTATTCTATTAGTATGGATGTGGGCTTCTTAAGTATTAGCTATATTTCATTTACTCCGGTATATCATTTTAGTCTGTCTTTTATCATGAGATCTCTGGGCTCACTTTACTCATTCTTCCATGTCAATTTCACTAACCTCCACTCTGCTCCCTGTGATCCAGTATTCCATTGGAGAGTTCCAGATTTACGAGGATGGATATGTACAGAACAGCAGAGAGAGACAACTTCAAAGACCATAAGGCAGGTCGCCTTACGTAATGCAACCATAAGCACAAAACTCTGTTGGGGATTTGCCCAAATGATGGTGCCATGTCAGCAGTGACACTGATTTCTTTTTTTTTATTTTCACCCAAGGATATGATTTTTATTGATTTTAGAGACAGAGGAAGGGAGAGAAATGAGGGGGGGGAGGGAGAGAGGGAGAAAAGAGAAAGAAAGAAAGAAAGAAAGAAAGAAAGAAAGAAAGAAAGAAAGAAAGAGAGAGAGAGAGAAAGAAAGAAAGGGAGAGAGAGAAAAGAGAAGAAGGAAGGAAGGAAAGAAAAGGAAAGGAAAGAAAAGGAAAGGAGAGGAGAGGAGAAGAGAAGAGAAGAAAAAAGAAAAGAAAAGAGAAGAGAAGAGAAGAAAAGAAAAGAGAAGAAAAGAAAAGAGAAGAGAAGATGTGAGAGAGAAACATTGATCGGTTGTTTCCCATACATGCCCCCAACAGGGACTGACCCTGCAACCTAGGTACGTGCCCTGTCTGGGAATCAAACTCACAACCTTTTGGTGTACAGAATGATACTCCAACCAACTGAGCCACCCAGCCAGGGCAACAGTGATTTTTTTAAGGGAGGACTCAGTGGGGGCAACTAAAACCTTAGTCCCTGTGTCCTGGGCTAAGCAGGCCACAGTCAGAGACCATTAGGTTAGAAGTTTCCCTTGCGGCCCTACCTTCCTTCCCTGGGATGTGTGGCTTCTGCCTTCACTCATTCATAGGGAGGACAAAACAAGACAGAGTCTGTTTCAGCTTTTCTTAAGTGTGTCATAGCAGCACTTTGAGGATAAAGCAAGGAACAGTTTCATCACCAGTCAAAAGGATAAGTTGTCCATGACACTCTGGGAAAACAATCAAGCTAGTATAATGACGATAATGACAACAATAATAATAATCACCACCACCATACATCACCCTGTTGGTCATCTACTTGTCAGCATTGTGGTTAAGATCACAAGGCTCTGCCAAGAGGACACTTGGGTTCAAATCCCAGCTTTACCGTTTGCTGGTGGCGAGACCTTGGCCAAGCCACTAACATTTCAAGCCTCAGTTTTGTCATCTGTAAAATGGAAAAGACCATCCTCAAACCTATCCTGGGACAATGAGATCAGAAATAGCTATAAGAGCAAATTGAACGTTTGCAGTACAGGGTATTGGTTGTCAATATCAGAGTGGATTTTAAATATTTAGTATCTGAATTGGTATGGGCAGCGACTAATCAGACCAGAAACTGGCTATACCCCATGGGTTTGACCCTACCCATGTGTAGCAGCTATCAGCCCTACACCTTGGCATTGTCACCCCCTGCCAGGCACTGAGGTAAGAACTGGGCAAGCACGGATGCATTATCTCACTTAATCTTCACAGCAAGTTGGCTTTATTATGTTATCTATTGAAGTAGATTCCATTGCATATTTATGAACATGACTATGCCTATAAAATCAGGGGTACAGGTAAACAGACTTAACATGCATTCCAGTTGCCCTGATGACTCATGTATGGGAATTCCAGGGGGTGCTTTGGCTGGGAATTAATGTTTTTAACATTATTGGAGAGGTTCATGATTTTAGCTACCGACTCTTTCAATAGCCTTTAGAAGATGATGCTAATGGTCAGCAACCTCAGCTTCTTCATCCATTAAGTAAGTGGGTATACATACTGTTCTTTCTGAGTTTCCACTGCTCTACCCAAACCAACCCTGGGAACACCAAAGGCTTCTCAAGACAAGCCCAAGTCACTAGAAATTGAGCATTAGACAGTTCTGCTAACCCCCAACCAGCACTTCAGGAGCGACAAGGTCTCAAGTCCCCATATGCCTTGCTCCTGAGCAGATTTCAAATTTAGCCTCAAATGCTACCAGTTCAAAGCACTTTGGCCACTGTCCCTCGAAAATATCCCTGGTGCTCTGCTCTCCTCTCCTCCCCCCCGAACCATGCTGCACGGCTGGTCTACCAGAGTTTATTTGACTTTCTGTCACCTACATGATGATGTTTCCAGTGTTATTAATAAGTGACTGCTTATTAATTAGTATTATTAGATATGCACCATGCAGTGCAGACAGCACCACAGAGGGCCTGGCGTCTCCAAGGAGAGGACTTAGACAGA